TGCGGGGTGAGGTGGCCCGAGCCTGGAGCATCTCCCAGAGAGGCTGTGGAGTCTCCTTCTCTCCCAAACCCACCTCAATGTGACCCTGGGCACCCTGCTGTGGCTGAGCTGCTGGAACAGGGGGGTTGGAGGAGGTGATCTCCAGAGCTCCCCACCATGCTGGGGTTCTGGGATTGTGTTGCCCTGCTCCAAAGTGCCTCACAGAGGTGATGCTGCCTGTGATGCTCCGGGCGGTGCCTTGATCCTGTCTGTCTAGTCAAGCTGCTTTCTGGAGGTGTTCAGACCTTCTGGCATCAACAGGAGGCAGTGAAGTGATGTGGAGCTGCAGTTGCTGCAGACCTGCTTCTGAGAGACCTGCTCAGGAGTGCAGCAGGTCAGTAAGACTGGCCCACAAGGAGCTCCCCTTCCTTCTGTACCTGCAGAGGGGTTTTATGCTGACAGGTCATCTGGAGCCAGTGGTTGTGATTCTTCTTAGGAGCTGGGCCAGCTGCCCAGTGAGAAGGGCCATGAGAAGTAAGCAGAGTGAAGAAGAGAATTAATTACTTTTATCATGCTGCTGGGGTTCAAAAAGGAGATGGCATTTGAGTGGATGACAAGTGCATTCCCAGTGATGGTTGTAAAGATTAAAAATACCCCAAAGTCAGGGAGGGATGTATTTAAGGCAGCTGTAACTAATGCCAGTGAGGAAAGAATATTCTTTGGAGACAGATTATTCCCTAAATGTCCAAGTCAGAGGCTTCTGTCACTGCCTTCAGAAGCAGCAGTTCCATGCTGCAGTCAGGAGCCAGGTACTGGGGTTTTCCCAGGCCTGGGGTTTCGTTGTGCTCAGTTCAGAGAGGGCACGAGCTGTGCTGACATCTCCTCACCATCACCCCAGCCACAGCTCAGGGCTTTGCCTTGACTGCTTGAGCAATGTTAGGTCAGATCCCTCCACTGCAGCTACTGGTCTCCTGGAGGATGGGTCTCCAGAAGGGACAGCAGGGCGGGCAGTGAGGAGGAGGAGGATGGCAGGGCAGGGAGGCCCCGTGCTGGTGCCACCTGCCTCCCTGTGGGACTGGGTGAGGTCTCGTGCCGTGGGGGTCACCCGGGGGGTGCAGGAGCCCCTTGAACAAGCAGTGTGGCACCCCGAGGTCAGCTGGACACCTCCCAGTGACCTGCTCCAGCAGCAGGTTGGGGGGTGGGCCCTGCAGGAGCGGTGCTGGCCCCGGGGAGGGGCTGCCCTGCCCCACCCCAGCCCTTCTGCCTTTCTTTCAGGAGTTCGCTGGGCCGGGAGGATGCGCGAGTACACGGAGAAGAAGGAAACATGTGGGACCATCTGCCTCAAGTACCTGCTCTTCATCTTCAACTTCTTTTTCTGGGTAAGGGTCTCCAGCCCCTCTCAGAGGCGCCGAGACGGTGCGGCAGCTTCGGTGTCGGGGGCACAGGACTCTTGGGGCTGGTGAGGTCTGTGGCAAGGGGCACTGGTGTCAGCAGGACAGGGGTTTGGTCCTGTGGGGTGGATCCCATCCCCTGGGCTTGGCTGCACAGGCTGCAGAAGTTGTGGCTGGACACACTGTTGGCTCTGGCTGGTTCTGGGTCACGTTACCCATTGCAGAGAATAACAGGGACCTTGGAAGCGTGGTTGTTTTTTCACCTGGGGAGCCCAAGGACTCAGCTGTCCTTCTCTCACACTGGCTGTCCTTCTCTCACACTGGCAGAGGGACTCCTGGCAGAGGAGTGGCACAGCTAGAGCAAGGGTAACAAGCACCTTTTGCAGCTGGCTCCATGCTAGAGCTTTCTAGAGTTGTGCTTTCCACCAGAATGTTACTGATGCCAGAGGATTGTTCTTTTCCTTTGCTGCCTGGGACAGAGCATCCAGATCAGACCTTTATGGATAACTATCTGAGCTTACTAGAAGCTGCATAAGGCCCTCCAGAAACACAGGGCTTGCAAAGAGAGAAGGGAATGCTCGGAGGCTGGTTGGCTTCTGGAGAAGATGGGTCTGCATTCACTGCAAGAGTCTGAGTTTAACCAGCCAGGCTGTTCACCTCTTTGACTGCTTTCTCCCCAGATGTGGAGTCTAGGGAGGAGACCTTGGTCATGGTTGTTGTGTATTGGTAGTATTGCTCCCTGGCAAACAGTGGAAGGCTTGCTGGTGCAAAGCTGTTCCCTTCCCCTCTGCTGCTAGGTAGCACCCCAGCGGGTGTGCCACTTGTTCACATTTGCCCAGATGACAGCAGGGCTACATTTGGGAGGGCTCTGCTCCGAGGGTGAATTGCTGTGCTCAGGTAGATGCTTCAGAGAACCTGAATCTCAGGCCAAACTGGGGTGCTAAACTGGCCTCCTTGAAGCCCAGCCCCTCCCAGTGCACTGGGGCCTGCTCCCAGTCCCAGTGAGACCTCTGAGAGTCCCTCCCTCAGTGCAGATCATCTTTGGCTCAGCTTACAGGGCCGAGGCACGTCCTGGTGTCCCAGTCCCCTCTCTCTGGGTGGTGAGGCAGTCCACCCGTGGCACGCCCTTCATCTGCTTGCCTCTCTCTTTCCCAGCTGGCTGGTGGGGCCGTGATGGCAGTGGGCACCTGGACCCTGGCTGAGAAGAGTGACTACATCAGCCTGCTCTCCTCCAGCACGTACTCGGCCAGCGCCTACATCCTGGTGGTGGCCGGGGTGGTTGTCATGGTCACTGGCATCCTTGGCTGCTGTGCCACCTTCAAAGAGCGCCGCAACCTGCTGAGAGTGGTGAGTTTTGCTGGGTGGATTCACCCCATTTTCTCTTGAACCCCCTTGGCAGACAAGAAGACATCGTGGCTGTGTTCTGCACCAACCTCGTTTGTTTGTCCGAGCTGCAAAAAAAGAAGAGTTTGGTTTGGCTGCCACAGAGGAGCCACACTGGTTCCAGAACCTGCTGAGTGTTCTACACCTCTCCCCCTGTCACTGCCCAAGCTCCCTGCTCAGCTACCTGCACTGAAGCTTTAGAGCAGCCCTAGAGTTTCTGTTCTGCCTCCTCCCTCCCAGCTCTCCCTGTCGGTCTGGAGCATGGCAGAAGTCCCTGCTGGTGTCTGGGTGGGGAGTGCAGTGGCGGAAATAACAGTCAGTGGCTGAAATAACAGTGGCTGAAATAACAGTCAGTGGCTCTTGGCTTTCACAGTTACAGAAAAGGATCCTTCAGCAGCTCTTCACCTGCTCCTTCCTTTGCAAATCCTCCTTCACCTGACTGTCTCATTTTCCCTCTTGGTTGGATGGAGGAACAGAAATGGGAGTTGTGAGCAAGCCTGCTGCTTGTGGCAGTGCTTTGATACCCTGCAAGAGGCAGAGTAGGGCCAGGAAGGGAGAATAAATCCCAGAGGAGGACAGAGTGGGTGCATTGCTGGTGCTTGTTCACTAGACTCCTGGTCTGTAGCAACCCGTTCTGGCCTTGCTTCACTTGATCTCCATGCCAAAGAGATCTCCCTTTGTCTTCCTGCCTCCACCAGAAGTTATGGATGAAAATCTGGTGGGGTTTTCTTTGTTACTCTGCCACAGAAAAATAATAGTTGCCTCTTGGGAACAAAAGGCCACTCTGTCTCCTCACACCACGCGTCCTCTCGGCGTGGCTGGTTATGACAGGCCCATTGTCTCCTCCTGCCTGTGCTCTGCTCTGGCTGCTGGTGAGTAATCTGCACGGGAGACAGGGCTGGGTGTGCCAGGGCTGGGAGAGCCTGGCTGGGGGCCTCTGCCAGCCCTGAGCCCTGACAGTGATCCTGACAGCTTCACACTCAGTGCCTGGGGTCTGTGCCAGCCTGTCCCAATTTCTTTCTGTGTCAGAGCACCATGCAGATCTGGGAGGGAGCTCTCTGCTCTCCCCAGTGCCTCCTTGGGGCTTTTACAAGTCAGCTACTGACAGCTTTGGGTGCTCTTTGTAAAAGGTGTGTCTGGTTTTTAGTTTTTCTGTTGAAGACCTGGGAAGCTGTAAATATTTTCACTGCCTTTCCACCTAACGATGAGTTTTCTGGGTCCACCTCAAGGCTTTTCGTGGTGTTTTGTTGCTCATCTCTCACAGCAGTGATACTTCATGTCGTTGCTTATTTGCCTTCTTGATTTAGGAGTATAGTTGCTGTATATTTCTTCTTCAGGTCATAGGAGGACCCTCCAGAAAGCAATTCGGATTGTAGGCAGGTTGAACTGTTCTTTGGGTTATTCAGAGAAAACACACCCCAGCTTGGTGCTTCCCTCAGACACTTGGAGCTGGATGGAGGAAATCTAGGTCCTATAGATCTTGAGGAGGTACCAGATAGCTTAGAGCCAGAGGAAGAGCAGCTTTTGCCCAGAGCCCCCCCAGGTCCAAACGTAGGTGTCCTACAGGCCTTTGGGGGTTCCCACATTTCTGACTTGTTCTGCAGCCTCCTGGGAAGCGAGCAGGGCATGTCCCTGCAGCTCCATGCCACAGCTCCTGCTCCTGGAGCAGACCTCTGCAAGAAAGCCCTGCAGCTCCTGATGAGGAGCAGGGAGAGCAGCCCTGTGCTCTGTGTGTGTCCAGACTGGAAGCTGCTGCTGCCCTGTGTCACTGTGATCCCTGGAAGTGGCCCCGAGGGCGGCGAGGCTGAGATGAGGAGGATGATGCAGTGTAGCAGCAGAGGCAGGTTGGACTGGTGGGTGGCAGCTTGTGAGGGAGGTTAATGCAAGGGCCTTGTGGCTCAAATTCTGTTAAGGTCTCCTGGTTGTTCCTCTCCACCCTAGGCCAGTGCAGTGAGCTGAGCTGTGGTGACACAACCCAGCTCTACCTGAGCACCTCTGGCGTGACGACACGGGGCAGGGAAGAACAAACCAAAGAAACATTCCAGTCCATGGGTTGTTCCCAGCATCCTGCCACCCCCCTGCCCCCTCCGTGGCCCAGAGATGATGTCAGAGCAGTTAGGGCAGAACTGGGTCCCAACAAAAGACAGCCAGCCTTTGTGGCAAGGCAGGCTGATCCCTCCCTGCCCCTTTCCAACCTCCTGCGACTGTCCCAGCCTTCAGCTCCCCCTGCTCCATGGGTGACTCACTGCCCTGGCATGAATGGGTACCTTGCACCACAGAGCTGGGGGCTGGGCAGGGGCACAGCCTGGGGCTGGGCTCTGAAAGCCTGAGATTGTGTCTCAGATTCAGGCTGGATCTGCAGATAAAACCCAGCTGGCCATCCTTCACAGCTGCTGAATCCCAGCCCTGTGTCCAGCTCTTCACTGTCCTCCTCCGTGCCAGGGAGAGCTGGTTTGATGTCTGGGTGTGTTTGCAGGGAGATGTTCCTTAAGGTGAGAGGTAAAACAGAAAATGGGAGATTGTTTGTTCTGTCCTGGGGAGGCCAGCTCTTACAGGGATTTAACAGGAAGTCCTGGCATCTCTTCATCTACAGAAAGAAGGATTTGACAGCAGTCATAGAAGAGCCTGGATCTGTAAAGAAACTGTTCATTGCTGACCAGGAGCAAAGCTGTGTGTCAGGACAGAGATTCTCACCAGGATAGGGGTTAGGGGTCATGGGAGTGTTGGGTTGATGGTTGGACTTGATGATCTTGGAGGTCTTTTCTGACCTTAATGATTCTGTGGTTCTCCCTGAAAGGCTCTCCCTGACCCTAAGGAGGAGGTGGCCACATCACCCTTCTCTGCAGGCCTGCCTAGACCTGTTAATCTGGTGCACATGTTCCTCCTCACAGGTTTGGGTTTCCCTCCCTGTTTGTGTGTAGGAACAGTACTCCCAAGCAGTCTTCTGTACTGTCCATCTGATTCTCCTCGTGGCAAGCAGGACACATCCCACTGCCATTAAGCCTTTTTAAGGAACACTGGTGTTCTCCTCTTGGTCTTCCAAGAGCTCTTCACACTTTGTTGTTGAGATACTGAGCTTTTCCCTCTAGATCTTAGTTCAGCAGAACACAGTCACTGTCCTGAGTGTGAATCAATAAAGTCCATCTGCATCTGCAGTGCCCTTCAGCCTGTGGATGGACCCCACAGAACTCACAGGGAACCTAAATCCATGGTTCATGCTTAACTGGTGTGCTCTGTCCCTGGTGAGATGGGCCCTTTGTTGCTTTACATACATTGCTCCTCAGTGAGGTGGTGAGATGCCCAAAGCACAGCAAAACAAGCAAAACTTTCTTCTTTTTTTTTTGGTCAGATTTGTGTGGTGTTGAGTGTAGTCATCAGGTTATCCAGCAATCACTTTCTGTGGTCCAGTGATCTTATCTCAGCTGCCTGCACTTTCCATCCTCTCCATCCCTCTGGCTCTGGCTGTGACACTCACACTTGCTGCTGCTTGTCTTCAGTTACCCTGTGGTTTGGGGTTTTTTTTAACCCCTGGGACTGCTCCTTTCTTACCCTATTGAGATCTTCATCCCAGACCTTGCCTTTGACCACTGCTGCAGCAGAGCAGCCCTGGAGACAGTCGTGCATTTTACCAGCAACTGCAGAGCTGGCTCCCAGCATCTCCTCTCCTTCTGTTCTAACCTCCTGCTTTTCCCATTATTTTACAGTACTTCATATTGTTGCTGTGCATCTTTCTGCTGGAGATCATTGCTGGAATCCTGGCCTATATCTACTACCAGCAGGTGAGTGGGTATTAGCCCCTAGAGACTCAAACCAGGGAGGGAAACCAGCTGGTTGTCAGGCCATTTCTCTGGCCAGAATTGGGCTGGGAGCCTTGGGACCTATGGTCTGGTTGTGGTTCACCTTTCCACGTGTCTGTCCCCACTCCCCTCCCCATGCAGAAGGCCTTGGATTATCTGCTGGGTTTGGCAGAGTGGTGGTGGTTACTCTAGGGAGGCTGCTCAGCCTTGCTGCTCAGCTCCTTCCTGTGGTGCAGAGCCTTGTAGAAGGCAGTTTTTGAGGCTGTGTAGATGTAGGAGCTCTCCCAATGCCCTTCAGAGCATGGTGCAAGCAGCTGTGACCAGGTTCATGCCACGCAGGATCCTCAGGACACAGGAGCAGCTCCTGCTGCATACTGCAAGCTGGGCTGTGCTTTGGAGCTGGCAAAGATCATGAATGGTCCAGCTGAGAGGTCCTTTCAGGTCAAGAAGTTTTTGAGAGCTCTGTTTAACCAGCCCAGCTGAGGGGCTGGAGAACAGCACAGCCTCCCAGCAGCTGCTGTTCTTGCTTGGCACTTTTGGCAGTTGCAGAGAGCAGAGGCTTAAGTCATCACTCCACTTTCAAAGGGACTTTAACCACCAAGGCACAAACAAGCTGCGAAGTTGCTCTCGTGTCTGGAAATTGGTTGGGAATGGCAGATTGGGATTGTTGTCAAGTGGCTGTCTGAAGAGCAGCTGGACAGCCCATTTTGTTGGCCTCGCTGCCAGGATTCCTTGCCATTCCTTTTTCTCTTGGGCTTTCTGTGCTTTGCCTCACTGAGATGGGCACTGGCCGTTTGCAAGGAGCTAAAGAACCCTGGTGGCTCCTGGCAGGAGGGATCAGCAGTAGGAGTGTGCCTGTTTAACAGGGCAAAGTCAGTCCTGGTAGGCATCCAGGAGGCCAGGGTCCATCCATGTGAAAGCACAAGGTTTGTCTGTGACAGTGGATGAGGAGGAGATGATCCTGAGGTTGAAATCAGGGCCAGCATCCTCAGAGCTGTAGCCTTGGGTGCTTTAGATCGCTGGAGAGCACCCCTGCTCAAGAGCTGCATGTCCCTTGCTGGCTGCCTGACAGATCCCTCTTCTTTCCTGATTGCAGGCTGCTTGCTCTGCTTGCCACTGGTTTTATTTCAGCCCTTGCTTTGGTGTCTAAGGCTTGTGCCTGTGTCTAAACTGTTTCTTTTGTTATCTCTGTTCCATGCTGCAGTTCTGCCCCGTGAGCCCGCAGGTAACTGCTCTTCTCCCAGGTCATAATTCTGCTAATGGACTCTCCTCTTTATTTGCCTCCAATACCTTCTGGCTGCCGTACCTTTTCCTTTCTTTTTATTACACTAAATCCTTTGCACTTCTGTAGAGCTGCCCAGCCCAGGATCTCAAAGCATTTTGCAAATACTAATGAATGAAGCCTCATACCATCTCTGTGAGGTAGGTGTTGTCCCCATGTGACACCTGGGGTTGGAGAAAAAGGTCATTCGAAGGGAGAATAAACTGCAGACTGTATTTTGCACAGCTCAGCATAGGCAGGTGTTGGACCTCTCATTTACCACTTCCCACGTGGAATACAAGGTGCAGAGAGGGTCTGCCTGTCTGTTTTACTCGTTGACCCCATTTAAGTGCATGTTGCTGTTGTTTATTGGTGTAGGAAACTTGGACTTCCACAGGTGCTGGACTAAAGCAGTGTTGCTGCATGAACCACAGTGATAAAAAGAAAAGATACAGTTCTTTGGCACTTTTTGGCTGTCACCTGGATAGCTGAGAATCCAGTCAGACTGAAAGAGCTTCCCCAAGAATCAATGTTTGGATCCAGCCACCTGAACATGCCAGTGGTTTATGGTGCTGCTTTCAGAAACTGTACTTCTGCAGTCTCACAGCTCATTCCCTCCTGTGACACCCTTTCTCATGCTGATACAGGAGCTATTCAGACTATGTGGCTTCAGTCCAGCATGCCTGGGACTTGGATTTCTTCTGGCTCCTGGACAGAGTGATTAGTTTGTTAGTATTTTGTCACAGGCTCCAGAGGGAGAAGACTGCCTAAGGTCTTGTAGCCATATTCCTATTTAAGCAGGCACAGTTCTGTATTCTCTTTTGGTGTGGGCAAGTCTTGGCAATCTTAGGTACCCAAGGAGAGGACCCACATGGTGATGTGTAGCACAGGCTGAGGTTTGGTCCTGAAGCACCTCCTTCCAGTTACTGACATGGAGGGGTGAGCTGTGAGCAGTTGGAAGGAAGCCTTGTCTAGTCCAGCCTGGGAGGAGGATCTTGATGGGAGCTGTAGCTTCCACTGGGCTCTCTGCTTTCCTCTTGGATCAAAGGGTCTCTCTGAAGGGTGAGTTTGCCTGGTGATTTTCTCCTGCTTGTCTCTCCCTCTCAGCTGAGCATGGAGCTGAAGCAGAACCTGAAGAACACCATGACCCAGAAGTACAGGCAGGCGGGACAGGAGAGCGTCACCAGCGCCGTGGACAAGCTGCAGCAGGAGGTGGGTGTCTCTGGAGCCAGGGGGAGGTCATGCAGTTCCAGGGCTTAAAAAACACTCAAAAGGCACCCTGGGCTCTTCATGGCCAGCATAGGGATGTTCCTTCTCCGTGCTGGGTGTGTGCTCTGCTTGCTGTGACTGAGGAGAAGGCTGGCTGGGCTGCAGGGCCTGGGCAGGACCACGTGGTGTGATCTCCGAGCTGCTCACCCAGCAGCACTGGGGAAACAACACCCAGAGTGCTCCCAGGGTGAGCTGGAGCTGCTGGGTCACTCTCACAGCTGCTGCTACTTCCCACTTGAAAGCTTTGGGGGAATGGTTGGCATTTTTCAGTAAGCTCCTCAGTAGCCTAGAGAGCAGGATGTGAGGAGAGAGCTGCCCTCCTGCTGCTGTTGGTAGCTGGGCCTGGCTCAGGGGTGGTCCCACAGAAAGGACCCGTGTGAACAGGCACCCTCAAAGCCTGGGGCCTGCTGGTAATTAAACCTGCCCTACTGGTAATTAAACTTACCCTGTTACCACCATTAATGCTCTCCAGGTTAAGAGCTGAGGCAGCTGCAGGTGGGCCCTGGTCACAGTTCATCCCAGCAGAGAGGGCACAGCTACTGAAGGGTGGCTGGAGCTGGTATTTAATGGCCATTCTGGGGACTCAATGCAAAAGTCTCTAATAGTTATAGGGCCCTTAAAGAAATAAAGCCTGTGGGATAGCTGGAGTCTCTCTGCAAAGGAGGGTGCAGGCCAGGGCGTGGTGTGGGAGGCTGGAGGAGCTGGAGGCTGCAGTGCCTGCAGGCTCAGCCTTTGCTCTCTGTGTGTGCAGTTCAAGTGCTGTGGGAGCAACAACTACACAGACTGGGCCGACAGCCTGTGGATCAGGTCTCCAGAGGCTGGGACAAGGAAGGTCCCAGACAGCTGCTGTAAGACAATAACTGACCTGTGTGGCCGAAGAGACCATCCTTCCAACATCTACAAGGAGGTAAAGAGCAGAGGGGCTTCCAGGCTGCCTGCCACAGGAGCTGGGCAGGGAGTGAGGGTGCTGGGTTACTGCTGCAAGCTGGTGGTGGGCTGCAGAGTCAGTGGCATTCCTCAGAAAGCAGCATTTATTTCTCCAGCTGAGTGTTCAGCCCTCGAGGCTATCATTTTATGTGTAGATATGGAGAAGAATAATGCCTTGTGTTTGTTATTGCAGAGTGTGCTAGTGATAGGGGGGAGTGGGAGGTGGTGGTGGGTCTGGAAAGAAGCTTGTCCTACACTTAACACAGTTTCATGTCCTTGGAATTACCCAGTGAGGTGCAAATGGAGATGCTCCTGGGCCTTGGTTGAGGTGGTGGGGTTTGACCTACAGCACGAGGAACCAGCATATGGGGAAGAAAGAGGGCCCAGGAGCAGACAAATGAGCCCAGTTCCAGTGGGCTGCAGTTTGGGCTGAAAGGAAGGCTGGAGTGGAGATAGAGGGTCTTGTCTGTCTTCTACATGCAGCAAACTGAATCCCAGACCAGATGAGTGACCAAACATCTCAGACCCTGTGCATCCAACTTGCACAGGGCTGGTAAAAGTTCTTGCATTTGTTTTGGCACCCTGCAGTCCTGTGAGCTGGCTTTGACTTGCTCTCTGTGGGGCAGCAGGGTCCTTTTTTCTCCTCAGCTGCTCTGCTGAGCCTGGGGAGCTGCAGCTTCTCCCTGTGGGTGGAGAGCTGCCCCCTCAGAGTGGGTGTTTCTGCTCACACACTGGGCTCCCAGCAGGACTGGGGGAGAGGAGCGTGGGCAGCACCTGCATGAGCCCAGCAGCTCACTCAGTGAAGAGGAAACCACCCATCTGACTTTGTGGAATGAGCAGGCAGAGGAAGGCCAGTGGCTCTGATCTGCCCAAGCTCTGCTCTGTCCTGTTGGCTGGGGATTGCTCTTCAGGGAGAAGGCTTTTGTCCTTCCAGGCAAGGCCCAAGGATGGCGTGCAGGGAAGAGCCCAAGGGCTGGTGAGGTGTTTCTGGGAGAGGACACCCCCAGCTGCTTGAGGGGCAGGGCTGGCAGCTCCCATCCTCCCTCCCTGCCTGGAGCTGGAGGCAGCTGCCCAGCTGCATTGTTCAGAGAGGCCCCAGAGCTCTGGAGGAGAAAAAGATCCTGCAAGGGGAGGTTTGGCCCCACAGCCAGACAGCACATATCATGATGGGGGGTTTCAGTTGGGGTTTGGAAAGGATTTTAGTGGCCTTGGGGAAGAAAATCTTAGAAAAGGGATCAGATCAGGGAACTGCTTCCTATCAGGGCAGCTGGGGCTGACTCTAAAACCACATGCTGGCGTGGGAAACACGAGGCCTTTGCCATCCCTCCCCAGAGGGCTGCCTGCTCCTTCCCTCTGCCTGCCTGCCAGGAGGTGTCTGTGGCCACTAAAACCCCTGGGGCAGGAGGGGCCAGCACCCTGGGGGCACTGCTGCAGCCTGTCCATAAACCCCCTGATGTTACCATGGGAAACCTGCCTTAAATTAGATTAAACGGTTCCGTTACTTAAAGAGAACTCTCCCAAAAGGAAAAAAGCCACCAGAGAATGCTCTTACTGATTTATTTTTGCCTTATGACAACAAAACCTGGGCCGTGAGTGAGGGGAAGGTCATGCTGGCAGCCCAGGCTGGAGCTGGGAGGCAGAGCCTGGCCTCCCAGGCTCACCCCGAGGCTGGTGCTGTCATAAATAGCAGCAGGAGGAATTTACTCTAAAAAGGCTCCTGTCCTGTTGAGATCTTGGTCCTGGATCCACTCAACTCCCAAAAGGGGAGCAAATACCTTACCCAGGAATGTGCTAGGCAGTGAGTGAGGGACCCTTCTCCACATACCTCAGAGAAAAACACCTTGCTTCCTCTGTGTGGTGCATGGGGGGTTCCTCTGCATTTCCCCTGCCTGGCTGGCACTGCCTTGGGTGTGTTCCATGGTTCCTGAGCCAGCAGGTCCAGAGCCACACAGGAATTGGTGCTGTTCACACCCTCTGGGTAGCTTCTCCTGGGATTTGGGGGAAGAGGTGGCTCACAGGCATGGCTTTTTGTAGCGTGGCTTTCAAGGGGCAAACCCGTGGGATTCAAGTGAACAGGAGGTTCCAATGAAGCTGATTTGTGTCCCTCCCTTCACCCTGCAGAGCGGCTGCATTACCAAGCTGGAAAACTTCATTCAAGAGCACCTGAAAATCATCGGGGCGGTGGGGATCAGCATTGCTTGTGTGCAGGTAACAGGCCTGCCTGGGGTTTGGGTGCTGGGCAGGAGGTAAAGGAACCCCAGAGCTGAGGGTTGGAAAAAAAAATCCGATGTTTTAGGCCCTTCCCTGCCTAGCAAAGAGAAGCCTCCAGCTACTTCAGGGAGCTGAGCACTCGCTGGCTGCAGAGCAAAAGCCTCTTCTGGTGGTGTGAGGCTTTTGCCGCGGGTGGAGGAGCAGCCCTGGGCCGGGGGAGGTGCTGCAGGGCTGCAGGCAGTGTGCAGGGACCTAAAAACCTCTGGTGGGGAGGGGTGCCCGTGCAGCACGGAGCCCTGCTGGAGGAGTTTCCTCCCCGGACCAGCAGCAGCGTCTGAGACCATCCAGAGCCTCTCCCTCGGCCGTGTCGAGCTGAATAATGGCACCGTGGGGCTGCAGATGGTTTGGGAGGGCAGGGGATAGGGTTTCCTTCCAGGTGCAGGTATCTCTGAGATTTCCTTGTCTTCCCCTCTGTTCTGGCAAGCAGCTGAATCACCCCTGAGCAGCTCCTGGTGATTAATTACAGGCATTAGCCCAGATTATCTCCTCTCCTGCTGGTCCTTGCGAGCCGGCGCGCGGTGTCCCCAGGCAGGAGCTGGCCTGTTCCTTTGCAGGCTGCTGCAGAATCCCCTTTTTCATGCACTTCTCCCTTCTCTTTCCACCCTGCAGATCTTTGGGATGATTTTCACCTGCTGCCTGTACCGGAGTTTAAAGGCAGAGCCCTACTAGCAGCTGCAGGAGCCCTGTGGCTGCCCCTCTGCCGCTCCCCTTAGTGCCGCCCCTCCGCTCGCTCCCCACCGCCGCAGGAGTGTCTGCACCCCGAGGACTTGGCTCTGCAGTTCAACGCCTCAAACCACACGACCCTCCCCTGCCCCTCTGGGGAACGACCCCCTCCTGGCCCTGCACAGCCAGGGGCTCAGCGGGCCCCCCACACCGCCCAGGAACAAGAGAGCTGTGGCTCTGCTGCTGGAAGCGTCGGCAGAGCCGTGCAGCGAGACCTCCCCGGGGCCGGCTCTGAGCTGCCCTGGAGGAGTCAGGGTGCTGTGCAACACCCGTGGGGTGCCCTCAGGAGTGGCTCAGCAGCACCAGGCACTGACTGAGGACAGATGATGTTTCTGTGCTGAGCTGGAGCCAGAGCTGAGTGTCTCAGACGTGGAAGGTTCCTCTCCCCCTCCCGAGTGCGCCCCGGTGCCCTGCGGCAGAGGGTGTCCCCCCAGAGGGTGCCTGTGGGGCTGCCTGGGGCAGGGGCTGCTCTGCCCTGCTGACCAGGAGCTTGGTGCAGTTGCCAAATGTGGGTGCCTTAGGATTTCTCAGCAACCCTTCCTCCTCTTCCTTGAAGCCTCACCCAACACGGTGCCATTAGGAGCCACAAAGGGACCCCTTGCCTGCTGGTGATTCTGGAGCACAGATGGGCTACTTGCCAGTTCTTTTGGGTCTAGTCTGTTTTACTGAGGGGCAAGGGAGAAAACTGTTTCCTCCTCCCCATCCCCTGCTGAGGTTTGGTGAAGACCTGGTCTGTTTGTGGAGCTGGTGTATCTCACTACCCTTTGGCCTGTCTGGTGAGTGGAGCTACCTGCTCACATCTTGTACGTGCTGAGAGGTGCCCTTGGCTTGATTTTCCTGATGAAAACCTCCAGGTTTGTCTCTCTTGGGCAGGAACTGGATATATACAAATGTTTTATCAGCCTCCAGAGAGCTCATTAACTAGCCAAGGGGTTTCTGGCATGTACAGCACACAGAGATCACCACTGCCATGGGTTTAGTGCCATCGTGATGCCAGCAGGATCTCAGCCTGGATTCCTGGGATCTTGTGTGCCTCTGGTCCTCACCTTCCAGTTACACCCCGAAGCAGAATGGGCTGGGGGGGTTTGGTGCCTCTAGGCAGTGAAGACAAGCCCCTTCCAAAACACAGAGCCCTGAGGAAGCCACAGTGGCCTCCTGGGCTCTTAGTGGTCCCAGCTGAGCCCTGTCCCTTGGCAGCAGAGAGTTACCAGCAGCAAAATCATCCAGATCTTGAAAGGGTCTCACAGCATCGTGGGGTCTTTACTTCAGAGAGCAGAAATGTTGGGCTGGCACTGAAGGGTGACAAAGTTCAGAGCAGGTCAGTCTGAAACTGCCCCCTCAACATCAGCCCCGTGACATCATCCCTCACTAGTGCAAGGAGAGGGGTGGAGGAGCTGAGGTGGCTCCTTGGTTCCACAGCAGCAGGAAAGAGGGGGGAAAAAAACCCCTAAATTATGGTGTAACGACCTAAAGGAGAAATCTCTAAATTATTTCTTGTTTTATAATCAAGCTCCTGACAAGTATTGACTACTAACGAAGAGGGAAATATGGAGCATGTTGCTTGAGGCAGTATTTCTAGGTTTTTTAAGCATATCTTCACAGCTGCCTTCCCCCAGTCCCCTCAGATACGTGGTGCAGGGTTGGGAGAGGCTGGGAGGAGGGAGATGCTGATGGTGAGGTGGCCTGTGCCTGTTGAGTTGTTTTATACTCTTCCTCTGTGTAATAATATTCGTTGCTTTTGTTTGGTTGGTTTTTTTTAACCCAGTTTTAAGTTGCTGGCCAATAGAAAAATAAAGCTTAAGGTTCTGTACCTCCTCCGTGCAGCAGAATTGAAGCAGCACCATGAGCCAGGGGGTGGTGTGGGTCCCTCAGGTCCTGCTCCTCCAGGAGAAGCTGGTCTGAGGGACCAGGCAGAGGAGGAAGCTGGGGAAGGAGATCGTGGGGCTGGTGTTGCCAGCCTGGGTCTGAGCTGCTGCTGTGGGGTGCTGGAGGCTGCTCCTCCTCCTGGCACCCTCAGAGCTGGGGTCACAGCACCTCAGGGTGATGGGTTCTGCACGTGGTGCTGCTGCAGGGGCTGTGGGACACCTGCACTGGGCTAAGGGGTGACCTCCCTCAGCCTTGTCTCACAGGCTTCCTCACCTTGCTGGCCCAGCTGCTGCCTGCCATTCCCCACCCAGGACTGCTGAAGAAGACCCGTGAGGGTGAGAACTGGGGCTCTGCTGTGCCCTCCTACACCCTACTTCCACTCAACCCAAAGAAGAGGGAGGTCTTCCCCCTTTCCACCTGGACTCTGAGGACAGGGGTGGCTCCTGCAGCAGGGCCCTCTGGAAGGGAACTGCACTGGAAC